TGGTCTGGAACCAAACCTACAATATCTCTGAGGTATGCCAGTAAATCCCTGTGCTCACAATTAGATCTCATAGCAATGTATCTTCAAATCCATAGGCAGGCCTGGCCAGCGTGACTCAGTGGTTGAGTGTTGACCTATGAACCAGGAGGTCACGGTTTGATTCCTGGTCAGCAGCAAGCCACTGTTTCCAAGGAGAAGCCCCATTGTTTCATCCAACTGATGCTAGGAGTGAGGATATGATAGACTTAAACCCACCCATTCCAAAGGTGGCTTCTCTCATGCATATCCTCCTTCAGCTGTAACTCAACTAGATCGAGCTATCCTCTCTTCTGTGCTGCGCATCAAGGGGAAAATCTCCAAATGAGAACAAGACAGAGCAATTCTCATGCCTTATGGGCAATTTAAAGGGTCAAATCATCTTTTTTTGCTGTCATGTCAAATGTTTCTTAGCCCATTTCCACTAAATACCAACAAATGTTTATAAATTCCTGGCATCTAGAAAGGTTGAGGGCCTAGTTCCAGCAGCTTATGCGTCAGGAAATGTGAACTCAGAAAAACAAAAGTTATCACTGTGTCTTTGCTGAGTTAGCACACTCTGTGTTCACTGAGATAGCAGGCCCCATCACATGAGTTTGCTCAACCAAATGGTGACACTTGATTAGGGTATTATTTTAAAAGATGTTAGTTCTACGTAATTGCAGGAAATACCCTCCAGCTCAGCACCATCCAACAGACTTTCTGCAATGATGGAGATTTTTATATCTGTACTTTCCATTAAGGTAACCTCTAGCCATATGGAGTTATTGAGCCCTTGAAATATGGCTAGTACAACAGGGGAACTGAATTTTTTTATTCTATTTAAGTTGATTGATATTTAACTAGTCCCTGTGACTAATGGCTACCATGTCGGGCAGTGCAGCTCTTGGTTGACCAACTGTCCCACTTGACCCAGGACTGAGGGGCTTCCGGGGATGCAGGACTTTCAGTGCTAAAACTGGTCACCCTAAACCAGATCTCTTTGTAAAATACGTTTGGCATTTTTGGAAGTGAGAATTGGATATGTTCCAGCTACCGTGTCAAGTAAAAGGGAAGGAAACTCAAAGACAGATATGTAACTGGTAGTTTTTCTTCCAAAGCAAAATACAATGAATTCTTTTCTAAAAAAAAAAAAGTAATGAATTGATGAGACCACAGGGTTGATCCTTTAACTGAAATAGTCTGTTTAAAACTGCATTAAAAATAAGAATATAGAAAACATAAGACACTCAGCCTCAAACTACCTGCAGAACCCACCAGTAACCTACTTGACTATATATTGATTCTCATGGGAAAGTGGAAGGCAATGGGTGAATTTAGATATGCTTCTCCTGGAAAAGGCTTCTCTACCCCAACTCTCATCTACTTGCCAACCAGAGAACCTGAAACTCCCTGCCAACATCGAATTCCTCCAGGTTAAGGATTGTCCTCTATTAAAATACAGACATTTTCTAAGATAAGTCATATATGACCAAAAATTTAGAGTGTCCCAAAATTCACGCAAGAAGTACTTTTGATAGAAAACACAGGTTTATAATTAAAAATTGTAAATTTTTTATTGATTCATAAAGTATACAGTATAGGGGTATGTATGGAATAGCACATCGGGTAAATGTCCTCCACAGCTTTGTTGGCACATACACAAAGCTGTGGTCCTCATTTGTCTTCATTGTCCCTGCTCCTGGGCCATAATTGGTACTTGGTAATGCATATCAAATTGAAGGGATTGAAATCAAAGGGTAACAGATATTAGAATCTGATTCAATAAACCAAGTAAAATTAGGCTTTTATTTGTTGTTGTTAATGCTCACGCAAAATTCAAATCTTGCGTGAATTTTGGGATACCCTATATAAGTTGTCCCCAAAAATGTATATATACACTGAATAATTATAAAGGCAGTGTTTATTTAAATACATTTCATCTTCAAAATTGAGCTATCAACTGTTAAAGTGTGTATACTTTTGGGGGAGACATTTCATCATTCTAGCATTTATTATTTAAATTTTTATTTCTCATATTTGGTTACTTTTCACTTAATCTCTTCTCATACATTTCTTTTTCTGTCATTGGCTCATTGAAGGATAGTGGTAGAGACTTTTGTTTTAGTTGCTGAGATAAATATGAGAATGGAGTCAAGTCTTAGTTCTGGTTCCTTTATGAACCAATTTATTTGCAATCTTTTTGGCAGTACAAAACTTTATTGTGCATAAGAATTACTTGGGGCTTTTAACAAAAACCCCAACAATTCCTGATTTCTTCCCATAAAAGATTCTGCTTCAGTAGATGTGGGGAAAGGTCAAGAATCAGCTTTCCTCACTTCCATGCAAGCAGTCCATGATCAAGCTGTACTCTTCTCCCCAGGAATACTGGAGGAGAGAGCACGAATGAATGATCACTAATGCAACCTCATATTGGGTAAAACAATCTTGACTGAATGCATGGTGACCACTGCTCAGAAGTAAGATCACAGAATGTCTTGGGTGCATAGTTAACAATGAAAATTAGGTCAGGTGTGAATCTTGGTCCTCGAGTAAACATTACTGGAGCATCAAAAGAATACTAGCATCATATGACATCCAACTGTACATTTTGCTCTTGGTCACAGATTAGTTATGTAGTTGGGTTGGGATGGTAGATGTATAATTTATTTCCTAGAAACCTCTTAAGCCTCAGCAAATAGGCCCTAAATTGGTGAGCCTGTGTCTCAGATCCTAATCATGTCTAGACTTGTCTGTTTCCTAGCATGAACACAAGACATTGTTCTGAAGATAGGACCCTAGATATTGATAAAGAGAATGATAGTTGCTATATATATATAGCAGGAAAGCATAATTTCAAATTCAGGCTCTTCATTAAGTTTTATTATAATTTTTAAACCTTCACCATTTTCATTTCTTTGTTTTGAGTCATGACCTTAAATCAATAAGCATAATTAGACTTATTGAATTTCTTTCTCTTTGCTTCTAGGAATTAATTTGGTAAGCCATAGGTAATTTAGCGAGCATGTTTGCACTAAACATAGTTTATATATCTGACCCACTGTATACAACTGTGCACTGTGGTCCCTTCAAAATGCTGCCTACAGCCCATGTTATGAAAGTTCAGAGCTGCAGGAGGGCTTTAGGGAATCCCCTCTGGTGTAAGAAAGGAGGGTTTCTTGTTTCTTGATTTCACAGAAGGCATATCCTCAAGTGTAAATCCATTTGCTGCTCATTGAAATTTTGTCAGTTCTGAGAGAAAAGTATTCTGGAGATCATTTGAAATAAAATCCATAGGATTTCTGACCCAGAATCCCTGACATTTGCTAGTTGGGCTCAATAGGAAGATCCAACAGCCAAGGCACCCCTTAACAGTAAGGACCCAGCATGTTACAGAGGCTTTACATTCAGCGCCTCATTCTACTGCTTTCCTTCCAGGGCTATCGTGCTTCCCCACCAAATCTCATCTCCCCTCTCTTCAGGATGGTTTTCGGTGTTTACCAAGTATCTATCAACTAATTCCTGGTAAGCGGAGAGGCCAGAGAACTGTGATAGGGGTAGCAGATAGTTATTAAGCTTGACTGAGTGGCACAACACACTGGCCAGTGATTTTCCCATCAGCCTGTAGTGTGTGTAGGGATGCCCTTTTTCCTTCTGCCTTCCCTAGCTGGAAATTTCATCACCAATATATATACATGTCTGAGATGCTAGGAAATAATGCAGGCTGGGCAGGACTTAACTCCTCTGAGTTTGTTTTCTTTCTCAGGACATAGGAAAGTTTTCCCAGTCATAAAAAAAAGGAGGGGAGAGCAAATGACAGATAAACTCCTAAGTGTTTTTTTTTTTTTTTTTTAAGAAACCTTAGGTTTTGAAAGGAAAAAGGATGGGGGAAAGGGCATCAAATGTTCGATGATTCACTGTGTGTTGAAACGGCTGGTGCCTGGGGACCCATTGCTGCTTTTCTGGATAGGTGAGTTGGGTGTTGCCCAGCCTGGGTGTGCACACCTAAGCAGCAAGTGGCAGGACACACCTGGGCTTGCTTTTATCTCTGTTTTGTTGAAATTGTGTGGTCTGAGTCTTCCAGAGAGGGGTCACTCAGCAGCTGAACCTGTGGTGCCATATGTATCTTACCAGGGCCTCTGGCAGCAAGAGCACCATATTGGTTGGCTAACATACTAGTGACGTTAACTGTTTAAAGTTTAGGGAAGTTTTGGCTAGATTAGAGAAGGGGAGTGGTACCTGGGCAAGTCACTGGGGTGGG